AAACACAGGTACTTTGCAACACAAGCAATAATAGATATATCTAAATCAAATGGAATAGTAGATGTTGTTACAATAGTTGAAATGACAGTTTTGTGTTAGTTCACTTTACAGATAAATTCTACAGCACAAAAGGCCAAATTCAGCAATTATGACTTAGGAAGTATTATGTAAAGGATTCAGTGTAGACCCATACAAATCTCTTGGATTAAAAAGAATTTGAGATTATTAAAAACTCGCAAAATTTTATTTAATATCTCTTCATCCTTGCCAAAGATGCTGGTTACTAGACAAGGAAAATCTTGTATAACATGAGCAGCATAACACTTTTATTTGGATCCCTTACAAACAGCTTCAACTGACATTTAGGCATCAAGTAAAACAAGTCAGACAGACATGGTTGTGACCAGAGCAAAGGAATATTTAAATGTGAAACATAGAAATGTCTCTCACTGGCACAAGATCAAGGATATGGAAAAATATGGGCAGGATGTTAACTAATTCAGCTAGAATTGTCAGCATAGTGGGGAAATTGCATGTGCCTTTTTAAAAGAGCTTACTGCTAGGAAAGCAGGTATATTGCTTCTCTGTGTTTCTGTAATGTGAGTGGAAGTGATTGTTACCAGGAGAATACCTTTCCTTTTGTCAAATCTTCTGATCCACACTCAGCAAAGGGCAGGAAAGGCCACTGAAATACCTTGGTCTTACTTATCAGTGGGTTAATCCCATGTTCATTTGTGGGAAAATGTGTTTTCTATGAGGAAGTTGGCTGCCAATTTCATTAGAAGCAAGAACTAGATTTTATTAGAGCAATAGAGAACTAGAAGTCTTGAAAAAAGCTCATGAGCCAACTCTTCATTTCAGCTGAAAGAATAAAAGAAGGAAAGAATTTTTCTCCCTCTGCACCTGACAAATGTGGATTTTGCTTGATTGCTGGTGCATAGTATTTGTCAAGTTTTCTTCAGAAGTGTAAAAGAAATCAATCCACTGCGTTTTACTTCCATGAGGTACAGTCCATTGCTACTAGGCTAGGCCTCAGCTTTTTGTTCCTAATTATCTCTCTCTCTTGATTCTTCCAAATAGTTTTTTTAGCTTTAACAGAGTACTTTCCCCAAGAACAGGGGTGATGTTCCCTTCTTTTCACTGTAATGCTAAATTCTTTATGTACCACTTTCACACAAATCACTAACCTCTTACTCCTCCAGCAGTCCCTTTATAAATGTTTTGCTGGTTTATCTCACTTGATGCTTCACCCTCCTTAAAATATCCTTCAAGACACAGAAGGAAAGCAGCCAACTACTTCTGTTCCCAGCCTCTGCACAGGGGGTGGGATGAGGAAGAGAGCACAAAGTTTCTGCCCTGTCCTTATCTATTAGGGGAAAAAAAAAAAATCACACCAGTGAAGGATGCCTATGTGTCTCAAGTTCAAAATCCTAATAATCTGAGTACCTCTGATGCCTTGTGAAGGCTGACCTAGAACATGGGCTGGACAGAGCTAAAGAACAAAGCAGGGATTGATTAAAAGGATCTCCTCCATGGATCCACCTTGGGCAGCACCAGAGCCCAGCCAGGGCTGCACCCAAGATGAACCAAAATGGTCCCAAAATGCACGAGCGCTCCCGGGGGCTCTCCCTGGGATCAGTTCTGCTCCATTGGCACCTTGGAGTTCATTGTCCCATTCCAGCTCCAGCCCAGGCAGTCCCATCCTGCTTGTTTTTCTCTCTCCAGCCCACGGTGTTTGTGCTCTTGGGCTGAGATTTGGATCATTTGTCCTTGGTGCCCAGCTGGAGAAGGAATTGTTTTGTGTCCCTGCTCTGTGCAGAGCTCAGCATCCCCTCATGTGAAGCTCAGAAGTGCACACTAGAGCAGCACAGAATGTGAAAATATAAAAGCTAAAACCTGAGGCATCACCTCTATAAATAATGGAGAGTTTTGAGCAATTTCAGCCTTGCCTCTTCCTCCTCTGTTACCTTTCTCCCTCCCATTACAGGGCCAGCGAGAGTCACAACTGTTGGGTGAGAAGGGTGGACTCTCAGTCCCACAGACCTGTGGCCATGGCAGTGCTCAGGACAGAAGGACTTGGTGCAAGATCAGAGACCTCAGAGATGTCCTGTGGTGTCACTCACTGATGGTTCTGAGAACTCCTGGCTGCTCTAACCATTTTCTAGCACTTAAATCTGAGTGCACCCATCCCCAGAGCAGTCAGGCTCCTCCTGAGCATCACCAGCACCTCTCCAATCTGCCTTGCAGCACATGAGGTCCACCTCTGGATGTCTTACTCAAGAATATGGAACACAGGAAAAAAAATCCCCCCTAGAGAGAGATCAGCACCCCAAAAATGCCTTTACTAGAGGTACAACACATTGCATGCAAAGCCTGTGAGGAGCAGGCATCTCCACTCAAGTGAAAAACCCAAAAAGCAAATCCACAACCATAACCTATCACCAGAAAACCACAAAGCACAATGACAATACATTTCAGCATTAAACATGACTGTTACAGC